GTTAGGTTAGGCTAGCTTAGTTTACGAGGGCTTGGCGGATTGATAGGTTGGGCTGATTGTTTCCAAGTACAGTGTGGGCTTCAGTGGCCGAAAGGGCATAAATGACACAAAGGCCAGTTTTGTAAATGTACGTTAGGTTAGGTTACATTAAGTTGGGTCATGTTACGTTGGGCGAGGTTTGGTTGGGTTAGGTTAGGCTAGCTTAGTTTACGAGGGCTTGGCGGATTGATAGGTTGGGCTGATTGTTTCCAAGTACAGTGTGGGCTTCAGTGGCCGAAAGGGCATAAAATCCCCAATGGGCCGAATGGTCAAAGGGGCCTAAATGGTCAAAAGGGCTTAAAATGTCCAGAGGGCCTAACCGGCTCAAATGGGCTAAAAGGGTCGAAATGGGCCAAAGGACAGTTTTGTAAATGTACGTTAGGTTAGGTTGGGATAGGTTAGGTTAGGCTAGGTTAGTTTACGGGGAGTTGAGTTAGTTTAGGTTAAGTCAGGTTGGGTTAGGTTGTTAGGTTTAATTGGGTTACGTTAGGTTAGGTTAACTTAGGTTGGTTTAGTATACGTTAGGTTGGGTTAGTTTAGGTTGCGTTGGGTTAGGTTAGGTTAAGTTATGTGAGGTCGGATCAGTATGGGTTGAATTATGTTAGGTATGGTCCACGAAGTTGAATTTTTAAAATCACATTTTGCCCATTTATTGTTGCCCACATTTCTTCCGAACTATAGGTATCTTAGTGAATATACTCAAGTCACGTTGAGGTCACTGATAAACGAAGGAGAGAGCAGGGCCACCTCAAAAAAGTTCAAGGTCGTTATTTCTCACCCCTCTATCTGCCGAACTGTAAGAATCTGATGTACCATATTCATGTCAATTTGAGGCCACAAATAGATCAAGGTCTTCTATAAGCCACGAAGAAATTACACCAAGGGTTTGCTGGATAGAGGCTTCTAAAATATCCACGGTCATATCTGGTTAATTTTTTCTCACCCTTATATCTGGCGAACCGTGAGCACCTGAGTTACCATACTCACGTCAATTTGAGGTCTCGTATCAGGTAAGCTCATGTCAAGGTCACGACAAAATCAGACCACGGGTTTCCGAGATAGAGGCCTTCTAATTTATCAAGGGCATCTCATGATGTTTTCCACACGCTTATATCTGCTAAACTACGAATACCTATTTGCCAATATTTATAGAATTTAGTTGTCAAATAGAGGACAATGTCGTGTCAAGGTCATGACCAAATGAACCCAAGGATTTGCAGAGTAGATCCTACTAAATTTTTGTGATCATTTTCGGTTATTTTTTTCTCACGCGTATATCTGCCGAACTGCAGGTACGTGACTTACATTACTTATGTATATAATAGGTCAGATATAGGTCAAGGTCGTATGGAAGTCACGACAAAATCAGTCCTACTGTTTGCGAGATATAAGTTTTTTTAATTTCTCAAGGTCATATCTTCTCACACTTATTTCTGCCAAACTGTAAGTAACTTGTTGGCCATACTCATGTCATAATGAGGTCGCGAATAGGTCAAGGTCATTTCAAGACCACGACAAGATCACGCAAACCGTTTGGGATGAAGGCCTGAAATATTTCAAGAAGTAAAATTCTTTCACGCATATACTGAAGGAATCTGAGTGACCTTCCTCAAGTCATTTAGAGTTCACAGATACTTCAAGGTGACGTGAAGGTCACATTATAAACAGTGGCTAACTTAGATTGGGATAGATTACGTTTGGTTACGAAAAACATGTCAGGATAACCGGTCTCTGGGCCGAGATCTGATTCTGTGGCCCCTCAAATACTTGGGAGAAGAGCTAACCACTCGACCACGATGTTCGGTAAAATACAGGAAGGGTAGAGATTATGGAAGCAACTTCGCAGGAATGATCGTATGAGTAGCTTGTAAAACTTAACCACAGCAACTCTGAACAAAGTTTTGCGTGTTTTACTAAATTACACTGGATAAAAAAATACTCAAACACAAAACAGCTTCCTTCTTTCCGACGATCGGTTTACAGTCGTATTTCCTGGTAGTCAGTATCAAATCCACTCTATTTATGGCATAATCCATGATTCATATTTGACAATGCCACGTTGCGTGCGAGAAGATAATATAAGATAATTTAATTTGTATGGACGTCACTCTCTGTCGTCTCTTGATGTCAAGCCAATCTGACAGGACCCATAATACACCGTCAGGATGTTGACTCCGTGGCTGAAACACGGCAGGTTGCTGTCCAATCAGAATTAGACACTGGAGAGAACAGGAAAGCAAGATAATACCTGCTAAAACATGGCATAGGAATGAAAATAATTTGGGCGGAACATCGGCTTCCTTTACCCCTAGCAATACCAAGGCATTTTTCATTCCGTCGTTTACCAACGGGAGGGATCATTTGTGACCAACACACAAAAATTAGTTTTTCACCCCAGCTTCTTTCCATATCTCTTCCAATTCATTACTCACTATCATCCTCTCATTCGACGCTAACATACACACACAGCAGTCGATGATCGTGCTTCTTATTCTCGTCTAAGAAACTGAGGGCACTGTGGAAGATTTAGTGCCGCAAAATCAATAAGAGTGTAAGACAGCCAACGGCTAACCTACAGTACTCCGTTTCGATGAGCAGTTCCTTACGATCTGATCTAATCTTCCTAAGATTTTATGAGGAACCAACAACTGAACCTCAGTGCCGATTTAACATCAGAAGTTTCTCTTTGGTTTGTCATGATGCACGTAACAAACAAGTGAAAAAATTATTTTTGGACTTTGTCCGTCGTCTAAATTACAAGTACAAGTAGCCCTCGATTTGCGCCGGTTTAGAATAACGCCGATTTTGAAACCAACAAGTCAAAAAGTAAAAAAAAGAATTTACTATTATTTATAACGTTTTACAATGTTTCTCGTACTGATTCTTATACTAAATCGTAATTCCTACATCGCTGATTTTGAATAAAAATTATAAATGCAGTCATCTCTGCAATTACGTAAGTTTCGTTAACGCGAATTTGCTCCAATGAGATCGATGAATCGGTAAAAGCTGTTTGTGAAATGCAAACTTTTGAATATGTGAGTTTGCTCTTATGCAATTTCATTCCTGGCGCTTTAAACTTTCAAAGGACTGATTTACGAGGTGCGATCGGAAAGTTTCAAGACTGTGTCAATAGAGGGCGAACCGGATGTAGTACGAGCTTCTGCCACTAGGGGGTGCGGCCTACATTCATAGTGAATCAGTGTGCCAGCCGGCATCATCGAATTAGCATTTGTTTCTTAGTTACGGGCGTTTTGGTAGTGCATTACACCGACCATCCTGCGATTTCGGAATGGCGTGTGCATCAAATTTTGCCAAAGACTCGCCAAAACGGCTACGGAAACCTATGAAATGCTAAAGCAAGCATTTGGGGAGTCCGCAATGGGTCGTGCACAAACTTTTGTGTGGCATTCACGTTTTAAAAATGGCCGAACCGCTGTCGATGATGACGAGCGTTCTGGACGACCATCTCCGAGCACAACGCCCGAAAATGTTACCAAGATTCGGCAGGCCATTCACGAAGATCGACGTCGTACCATAACGACTTGTGCGACATTGTTGGGATAGGCTATGCGACCTGTCAGCTGATTCTAAAGGAAGAACTCCACATGCGAAACCAAGGCTCCTGTCTGAGGACCAGAAGCAGAATCGACTTCTCGTTAGTCAGGAGCTCAAAGATCTTGCAAGAACCGACCCCAACTTCCTTTCTAAGCTCCGTGTGACTTCTTCCTCTTCCCAAAGATGAAAATTCAGCTAAAGGGAAGGAGATGTGAGACGATAGAAGAGATTCAAGCAGAATCGCAGATGGTGCTTGACAGGCTGACAAAGAAAGATTTCCAGGGATGCTTCCAGGCTTGGCAGCGGCGCTAGGATCGTTGTGTTCACTCCCAGGGGAACTACTTCGAGGATGATGGATGAATTTAATACCTGAGATAAGTGTACGAGTTTTTATAGGCGCAGTCTTGGAACTTTCCGATCGCACCTCGTATACCAAATCTCCAGGTAATTTTTATCCCAAAACAAGGCATAAACTTTAACAACAGATGGCAACTTTATTTACACTGAATGTACTATGAATGGAACTGTTCTTTAAATTTAACACCCAGATAACCCGAACAACTCCTGACATCACACTGGAGCACCAAGTTATGTTTCGGAAGCTTATTCTCCTTCCGTCTAAAAGTAAAAAAAGGAAATCGGCAGGCTGTAAGGCATTTCACTGTAAAAACCTTATTCTTCCAGATATATCTTATGCGGGTGATTTGATATCGACCTCATCGAATTTAATCGATTCTTATCGAATTGTGCTCCTATCTCTCTTCCGTCGCCGCCGTTGTATTCTTTTCCTGTTTCAATTGCATTCCTTATCGACACAACGGATTTTAGTCCCAACTTTGTCTTCCATTTTATATTTTGTCACTGATAATTATAAATGTTCACTTGGGAGTATCCTTATTTTCCTGGTATTTCTTACATCAAAACGTTGAAGGCACATCTCCCCTGAACAACGACATTTCATCAGCATCAGTATACCATCAGAAACGCATTACGACGCCTCATTCATTTTCTTAAAGTTGGCTAAACATGCAGTGGTTCAAAATAAGAAACTGTTAATTAATAGAAGTTGAAAAGACGAAAAAAAAACCTTATTATAATTTTAGTACATTGCACAGCATTGCGTCAAACAAAGACTGACAAATACACAAATAAATAAATCAAAGCTTGAGTCTTGGGGAGAGGGACCTCAAGCAGAAAATGCTCATGACAGAATTAAGTTTCGTATTATAAAGCTACTACAAACTAAACAAAGTCTAGCAGGACGACTCACAATGTGACACAGCTGTGGGTGTACAAATGTCAGAAATAAATTACGTTTTGAGTGCAACCGCTACTACTGGACAGAAAAGTCATTGGTGTTGTGTATACAGCTCAATAAAAGCGAAAAATCATGGGAATCTTACCTGTTGTGTCCGCGTCGAAGTAATTCGCCTTGAAGTTACCCAGTTCAATTTGCTCGTTATCACTGCGCATGTCTCGTAGCGCGGCTCGGTCATGTGACAACGGCACAGCGGATGTGGTGATGAAGTGTTGCAGCGGTTGGGGTCAGGACCAAGTGGTTCGCCTGAACACGGGGTCAGAAAAAAGCATAAGCGAGCCACCCGCTAACCCTCAAAAAGCAAAGCACACAAGCAACATAATCCATAACAAAATCACATGCTTATCTACAAGGGAAACAGCGGTTTAGTTTAGCTAGCAAACAGCTTACAGCGAAAATAATCTACACATGTAAACTGTTTCTTAATCACACATTACATGTTCACTGAGAAGATCATGAATTTGAAAATGGCTATCCTTCTGGGTTGTTGCACCATGTCGTTTACCAACGTTTCAGAGACCCTGATGATGAAGGCAGCAAGGACCTCTGAAACGATGGCAAACTTCTGCCTGACCCAGAAGACAGCCATCTTCGGACTCACCCCCAAATCCTACTTAGATCATGAATTGATTTCTTATTCACTAACATGGTTAAAGACAAACGACACGATCTTTATAAAGAGCCAGTCTCATTCTAATTGCAAATAATTACCTAATTAAATGGCAAGCATCTATTAATTTGGTGTCTTCGAGTTCAGTGGTCTTGGGAGAATGTGCTGCAGTTTACAATAACAAAGACGCGCACACAATCGAAGAGTTGCAATAAGAAATGTTGGCAGCAGTGATCAGCGTCAGTGAAGAAAAACTGACTGTAGTTGTGCGAAATTTACGATGTTGGCTCCAGATGGTGTTGGCCGTCGATGGTGCACACAGTGAAAACGTTTTAGAGTCGCTCTCAACCAAGACTACTGAACTCAAAGTGATGTTTGCTGTGTAGTTAGGTAAATGCATCCTACGAAATCAAAACCGGAGTGTCTTATTACAGAAATTCTGTATATAGCATACAACTGCTCGTTTTAATTCATTTATATGTACAGCTTTCGCAGATAAGCCGCATCGAATGATGAAAATCAATCGTTTCGAAAAACATTGCAACCGCCTTCTTCAAAGTGGGTAATGGATGGCCAACGAACCAAAAAGCTAACTAAGGGCGGAGTCCTGCGCAAGCGCAAGGCATCGTCCCTTGCTAGGTAACACCATTCCTGCGTACGAAACGCATTGCTGGAAATGGTAAACAGAGCCTTGTAACTAAAACGGGAATTTGCTTATGCTAACGGGGTTCTGTCGTGGCGGAAGCCTCGACCATTCAAACTTGGGTCTGTCGCTGCTGATGGGAGGTCATCCCGTCAGGCAACTTGTCCAAAAAATTTGGTTCTCTGAGGTTTGAACCCAGAGTGGTAGGGGACGTTTCGACTGAAGGCCTCTGCGGCTTGGGGGAGATCACTTCAGCTGAGGGCCTCCGCGATCGGGGGTGGCGGTCCGTGCCCCTATTAAGTTATACCCTGGCATTCGCCTTACAACTGAGGAAAGCACGGAAAACCTCAGTCAGGGTAGCCGAGTAGTCTAACCAGCCGACTTGGTAATGGATGGGTGTTTCTGGCAGCCTTATACAGAGTGAGTCAGAAGTATGTTTACAAACTTTGTGTGCGCGTTCCTGGATCAAAAATAAGAAAAAATGTTCCTATGAAAATAGGGTCGCAAATTTTTCATTTTCGAAATAATAGCCAAAAATAATTTTCAATGTATGCCTTTATTGCCATCGCTGAGGGTACTCTTCACTGAGAATTGTGCTGGAATTCCGTCTTGTTGTCTTGTTGTATTCAGTGGTGCATCTTCAAGGAGACGTGGCAAGTGTCTTCTTAAGAATCGCCGATATGAAGATCCTCTTAGACGCGATGGAAGCATGTGTGGACCAATAAGCATGTCGCCAACAATTGAAAATCTTTGCTGGAAGCTGGATTCACTTTGATATAAAGTCAATTCATTGAAACTTATTTTTGGCTATTATTTCGAAAATGAAAAATTTGCGACCCAATGTTCGTAGGAACATATTTTCTTATTTTTGATCCTGGAACACGCACACAAAGTTTGTAAACATACTTTTGACTCACCCTGTATAGGTGCGGCAGAGCGGGCTATTGGACAGCAGTCCGTTCTTCCTCTCCATCAATCAACAACATCAAATACCAGCTCTCTTGTTGCCCAGAACACCCAACCATTACATACTCACTCTGATAATGGAAATTGCGATGTTTGCCGAAACGTTGAGTAAAATTCGACGCGGATCATCTCTGAATGCCGAAGGACCTCTGAAACGTCGGCAACAGCCCAGAAGACAGCCTTCTTCATACTCGCCGTCGTGAGAACATAAAATCTCACAAATTAACAAAAATATTTAATTACATGAACACCTTGTAATCGGCAAATGCGTGCTCGTTGAATGGAATGGCGGTTCTAATTGTTTTATCCCGTATAATTAACAAATAATACGCACTTAATGCATGTAACATTGGAAATAAACACACCAACTGTGAGATATAAAAATCAATTAACCAAAGCCTTCACATAGGAGGAACACGTCAGCACCAATAAGAGAATATAAAAGACTCGATCGATTAATTTCAAAACGAACATCATTTCCACAAACCTTACAGGTAAAAATGTGATAACATGATGATGATGATAATAATTATACTACTACTACTAACAATAACAACAATAATAATGCTCACCACGTGGAACACAAGTAACACATCAGTTAATAAGCAACAGAATCTTCTATTCTACCATAAAAATTTGTGATTTGCTGTCGTCAAAAAATGACGTTATCAAACAATGTCACGTTATTTGTTTACTCGGCATTGTTGTGTTGGTATGCCGAGTAAACAAATAACGCTTCTCATTCCGTATTAGGCAAGGGTGGGGTTGGACGTTATTTAACAAATAAAGAAAAGCAAAAGAAAACCTACACTGATAAACGAAGTATTAAATATCAACAGAAACCGATAGACGAAAAACGCGAAATTATCGAGAAAGAACGACTCTAGAGAAAGCGCTCCGAAAGGAGCGCGTTGTTTTAGTCTTATAAAGAATCTAACAAAAGCACGTTACAAAACAAATGAACACCTAATGCGTTAATCGGCAAACTATTTATAACATGTGTTTATACAGATGCACACGCCGGTTGCCACATTACTACAGGTAAATACGCACACAACAGCCATTTCAGACATGCCAAAGATCTGCAGTGGCAAGGCACAAAAATAAACATTGTTTTACCAACAATTTCTTGAGAGTAAAGGCAGTTTGCAGCACATCGGTCCACACGAAACAAAAAGTCTTTCTAATGACACGCGCACTTTAACTAAGAAGCCACCGTATCTTTCTTTAGGAACTATTTTGTGTTTTAGGACGACGTAATGTGAAACTGTATTTCCTTCGTGATAGTTTTGCACTCTATTATCTTCGTCAGACAGCCATTTTACAAGTTAGTTGCGGTATCAAGAGCTGTATCTGGGTTAATACAGCGCCTGTCTCTGGAGGGATGCAGCAGAAAGCATCTGACAACGGGGTGACGTTTCTCGCCGTTTGTTCGGCGAGAGACGCGCATCGCCTCGGCGCTGGTTCCAACGATACTACTGCTGCTGCAAGGAGCGAGGGCAGGGGAGGTTAAAGGGCAGTGCCCAACTATCATCGGCGAAAACATTACATACACGGATTACGGGAAAGAAACTAAGCTATTATAGGCCGATTTAAACATTTATTCCTGGCCTCTACCTAAATCCAATGTACGTCAAAAACGTCGCTGTTTATTCTGAAAACGAAACAAAACACATCTCACATCGCCGGTTCCATGACAAAACCGCACACGAAAATTGCGCACAGAAAGAAGATCACTGTCATAAATGCTCACACGAAAATTACTCACACGGACAAATGCTCACACGTACGAATGCCCATATTCACAATACTATAAGTAATCGGAAGCGTTAACTGGTTACCGTAGTAAACCGACGTTTCGGAATCAAATTCAATAAAATCTTCTCGGGCAATCAGCCGCGTTAACGTGGCTGATTGCCCCAAAATATGTTATTGATGCAGTATTATTATTGACATGACCAAAGAATATGTTTATGCCACTTCGTTTCGGGAGCTTCAGGTTGAAAATGCGTGTTCTGTCGGCCAATAATTGAGATTAACATCTTCTATCGGACACAAAAGAACAGGCACTTTCAGCTGAAGATGGGAGCAGAGCCAGCTCCCGAAACGTACTGGCTTCGTTTCCAAAATATTGAACGATGGATCTAGTCCAGAGAAACAGCAATACTGAAGTAGGATTTGATTTTTTCACGGAGGTGAGTCTGAAGATGGCTGTCTTCTGGGTTGTTACGCCGTGTAGTCTGGTAGAAATTTACCGATGTTTCAGATGTCCTTGCTGCCTCCATCATCAGGGCGATGACTCAAGCAGCAAGGTCCTCTGTAACGTTGGTAAATTTCTACCAGACTACACGGCGCAACAACCCAGAAGACAGCCATCTTTTTTCACTCTTTTCTTTGTTACTGTGGCGTTCAATGGTATGACCTTTCGGAGTGTTGATGAAGAAATCGAGGAATTCAGGAGTCAGTCGCTGCATCCCCAAGAAATTTTGAAACTGAAACGGGTTACAAACTCAAGAACCTCGAGAATATAATTTACGTCATGTCAAATACATATTTCAGACAAACTGTGAATGTTCAGTGGGTGATTACCTTTTTATTAATGTTAATATCACATAAAGACGAACAATTTCATGTTGCAAATGAACATGTCTGGGCGTGTGAGTAAGAATGAAATTTGTACAATGTGAGACAGATGGGAAACCTGTCCTTGGCTAACACCAGCTGTTTAGAGGGAAATGAGAACCAACTGAGTTACTATCTCTGGGTGTAAGCACATTCATATTTCGCCGGACTGTTGTTTATTCAATTACTTAAGGACTTTATACCAGCCGATGATGTTATAAGATACCACACGTCCTTCAGGTTTCTGTGAGACAATGGACACTTACAGGAAAATGCCGGGAGGAAACGAAGACCATTCACACCTCAAGTCAGGACAGTCGGTCTCGACCGAAACGGGAGAGGTACCTCTGGAATACCTGCACGAAAAAGTTCGTAAGCGGAAACAGCATGGTTGCGCAATGCTGT